GGAAAGAGATGGGTCAAAAGAAATGCAGCATTTTTGTGTCTTATTAGTATAGGACTTACTTTTGTATTTCAGTCACAAACTAACCATAACGTGCTTTTCAATGTGGTTGCAATACAATCTGTGCATGCATGCTTTGGAAGAGAAGGAATGTGGGGGGGGGAAATCTGTAGTTCTGGAGTAAGAGGGTTTTTTTCTCTCCATCTTTTACATACTGGGAGTAACATTTATTTTTCTCCTAAATAAGCTTCCCTCAGTTTCCCATGCAATTTTCAAAACAAGTAGTATCATTTATTACTGCGATCACTATTAAAATCTATTTGCCCATGCAGCTACCCGATGCCTCCCGATTTCTAAAATCCACTCTGCAGCCTAGCTCAAGAGGCTTGGCCAAAAATTTAGGCGTTTAGGGTTTTTTCCCAAAACTTTCTGCTACTACAATATTGCAATAAAGGCAGTAAATCTAAGGTTTGTTCTGGAATTTACATTGACTTTCCAAGTGTATACTGCTATAGTTATCCTTACTATACCTTATGAGTTGAAGCTGCAGGATTAGGTGCTGGTCTAGACACAGAAGTTGATATCCCACTGTAGCTAGGTGTTCTATGGTGACCTGAAAGGCCTGTAGATCCAGTTTTTGCAACAGTTTTTGAACGAGGAAGGGAATTACTCGTGTGTGTTAAGGGATCCTTCTTTTTGGGAACTGCTCCACTTTCTATAAGAAAACCAATGTTATGAGAACATTTTCAGCAGTCATACTTTTACCATCAATTCTAACGTGAAGATAGTATTGTTGACACATATAATACAGTATTATAGCAGAATAATACAAGTTTTTAAAGAGGTTTAGTACTTTTAAGGGGATATTAACTGTAGCTTTCTCCTGAAGTTAAGTTTTGAATTTTTAGGAGCTCTCAAAAGCAACACTAGTTAGCCATCTTAGAAAAGCTGGAGACGGCTAAGTCCTGTAACAAGGGAAGAACACCATCTACTCCTTAAGACAGAACACCAGCCAGAAGATTTTCCTTCCCAAGAACTCCTAAAAATAATCATTATAATAATACCAAATTTCCAGCCATTAGATTCAGAGCATTCGTTCCTTAAGTGATCTTAGCAGGCTAGTTACTTTGGATGCTAGCTAACACTATCTAGCACCTTCCACACAGAAGCTTCACCAAGGCACTTTAATTTGGGAAAATTAAAACAGTTACACCTGCAAGCAACTACTAGGAGCTTTTTCTTACAACTTTGTTTCACTTCAGGAATCTCAAGGTGTAAGTAAATTCTGAATGAACAGCTCTGAAGCAGTGTACCTTCCTACATGTAAAATTAAGTCTTAAAATATTATATTATACCACTGAATTCAAACACCACCACACATTCCATTCACACTTACTCTAACTCACCTCCATGATGGAGCAGGATGGCCTTAAATTAGGTGACAGATAAAACGTAACATATTGGCCACAGGTGATTTAACTACAAAAGGCTATTTTGGTCCAGAGTAAGTGAAATAGCACTTGATTTCTACATTCTCCGTACGGGATACACAATAAAATAAGATTCCCTGGCACAGAAATGGCAAGGGTAAAACATCAAAACAGAGACTAAGAGGTAAGAACGTGCTACAGCGAGCACACAGGTTGGTCAGGCTGGCTAATGATTAAAGCACAGCATCAGATCGGGGGGGTTTTGTGGTGGGAATGCAGTACTGGAAGCTGTCTAGTTCAGTACTGTTGTCTGCAATGGAAACTGTAAATACTGCCTTATTTTATATCCTTTTAAAAGGATTAAGGAGACTTTCGATTAGGTAAGACAAATATGGCATCAGAGGTAAGGAAGCACAAGATGGATTTCAGCTACAAGTTTCTTCACTAAGATTTTAGAAATCTGCAACTCAGTTTGACTTGTTAAGCAACAGGCCAGAGAACTCTGATTTTTAAGGAAGTTAATGACTCCACAAAGAATTTTTGATTTATAATATTGCAGTTCAGTGAAAAATACTTTAAGTAGAAAGCCTTACAGTTTTGAATGTTGTGTTTAAAAAATTCAAGTAAGAATACTTCAGTGAAACAGTATCATGGAAGGATCAATTAATTACTACAATGTTCTCAGCCTCTTTAAACATAAAAGTCTTGCATACTACCAAGGGCAAATCTTTACACAGCCTGCAGTTATCCATGCGTTGAACTACTTGGCTAACAAGCTTCTAGAGCCTTTCTTCAGTCACAAATCTACCCCTTTTAAGAGTTACAGAAACTCTGCAGGGTTCATCATAAAAAATGCAGATGTATCAATATTCAAAAAACAAGGGAACTTGAAGAATATGATTAACTACATTTACCTGTAAGATATTTCTCATTAAAAAAAAAAAACCAAAACCAACACACAAACCCACGCAAACAAACAAAAAAACCCCCAAAACCACCCAAAACCGGCTACTGGCTAAATCACATGCAGATCCAGAGCTGCTTAAATTTAGTCATTCCTGCACAGGAATTTCCAAGTCAAAAACTCTTCAAAATTAGGTATACTTAGTAACTTTCAAGTTCAAAAAAGCACTATATGAATCTATTAAAAACCTAGCTACTCATCACTCCGACTGGTCCAATTTAATCAAAAGGTGGCACTCAGTTTGGTGGTTGTTTCTTTTTTTTCCTTCAGCCTCATTTGCACAGCTGGCTTAAAGTCAACATGAGAAGGCTTCAAAAAGCTGAAGTAGTTTTTCTCCATCTCCTAAAATGTTGCTCAATTATCACACTTTCCCAGAACTACCCCCATCTATTGAGAACAATATACACATATGGCAATTTTGAGTATCATAAAATTGCACAGGTAAGGAATATTTCAGGAAGCTGGAAATACAGTGTAAGGAAGGAAAAAGAGAAAGGTTTAAATACAAATTACAGTTTACGTCCAGGAATCAAGACCACCAAGTTTACATATGTTCTGTGGTAAGTCCTGATGGAGAGCACAGAAAGAAGCACTGATGAACTACTCTTGAATATAGTTGTTCAGTGTCAGCTCCAGAGGGAAACTTCATTTTATATACAAATTTTCATTGAAGAAGCAAATAAAATTATGATCAAACTTTTCAGAATTACAGTTTATCTAAAGTTTACCTATTTCTAAAGGGTGAAGTGTTTAAGAGCACATATATGTCTCTTGTCAGACTGATAGCCCCTATTATTTCATTATGTAAAATATACATTTTCCTGTAACAAATGCAAAACCCCCAAAACACATTTCTTATGCATTTGTATTTGTCATCTGCTGAAAGACAGAAAATATGCTGCAAGTGGCCTTAAAACCTTTGTAATATCTCCAGCAGCGTTTTGCCAAATATTTCACCGTTCCATAAAAAACAGTAAGGAAGTGCCTACAATATGTTCCAGTCACAAAGACAGACCATGGTATTTTTTCAAGTGTATTTAAAACACTGAACAATCCAATTGTCTACTTCATCTATACTTACAGGATAGCAATAGGGGCATGATGATTTTGATTTTACTCTCTAATTCTTGACTGGACAGAATAATTTACTTCAAAGCTCCATGCTAATACTGCTAGATCATACAGAAAAAATAACTATCTGGTCCTGAAAGCATCCCTGCAATTTTAATCTGTCATCCAAATATATACACAACAAACAAATTACAAACAAGCAATGAGCAAAATTTTGTCTGAAGTTTTCTATTGGTTAAATTATGATAAGCTGCAGACACAGGGGCCCAATTTCAGACTCCCTTACAGAAAGAAATGTTAAAATGCATTTATTATATTTAACTGTTTTTAAAGGTAAAGTGAAGTAAGGATAAGTGTGAACAACTTTAAGAGAAGTTTGATTATACTATGCACCTGGAAACACAGAAACAAACTGGGAAACATGCAGCTCTAGCTTATTTATTTAATAAAGATAACAGCATGCTTTGTATTTCTAAAAAGCAAACCAATTATATTTTCTTTTGTGCATCTAAAACAGATTAAGGCACATCTTAATAAAAAAGTTGCTGCTGGTTTATAACTTCTTAAGCATCCAAAAAACAGTTTAAATTAAAATTAGCAGCAGCAGTTCCTGTATTGCAGAACAGTTTCCAGCCTTCAGTTGCAAAACCTTAAAAATCACCAGGGAATATTCCTCAGAAATTCCTTACGTATGCTTATTGGTAACTGATATAAAGTGACTATGAGTAGTTATTATATATAGTCTGTGGACCCCAAGTTGGGAAAAAAAAATTTCACCAGACTAGAATTGTCTATAACTTTATATACGTAGTTTTATTCAAAAAAATCTTTAAACTGCTTAGCTATACATTTTCTGCAAATATCGCATAGCAAAATACATGCAGCAACTGCAAGACTGATAGATATTCAGGATCAGTATTCACAATAGCCCCCAAAATAGTAATTCCTTCAAAGATTATATTCAGATTTTTCAAATCAAAATAGATTTCAAGTAATAAAAACTACCTAACAGAAAACTTCAGCTACTAACAAGGACCTGTTCCATGTTTCAAATGGTAGCACAGCTATACAAATCTGGGACGTAATAGTTCTCCTTTCTGAATTGACAGAGCCATGTCAGTCAAAGATCTACTGTTGCCAAATTATGGTGTTAAAAACGATCTTATTGCTACTTGTTCTTCTACTTGGGAAACTTCTTAAAAAACTTCAGGATTAAGACTTGAAAAACATTGCCAATATATGCCTACTATTAAAGACATGCCAGCAAATCCTTCCAAGTGAAAACTGAGATAAAATACTAGCTACTTGCACAGCGCTGATGTTGTATTAAGAGAGAGAAATTTAATGCTTTCTCTGATCTTGTATCATGCTGAGATTTACACGTTAAATGTAAAATGGTGCACTGGAATTACCGTAATACTATCAGTATTGTACGCCCAGTAATAAGTTCATAAAACTCATAAACACCGCCTTTGGCAAGACTAGCAAAATCTCCTTCCCAAGCTAGTTTAAAAACAAAAAACAACCACCCACAATGCAAAGGAAAACATGCATGTCTGAGAATAAAAAAAAAAAAAAAAAAAAAAAAAACCAACAAAAAAAAAAAAAAAAAAAAAAAAGAACCAGCTAATTTGTTTTACATCTAATTTAAGACTGCTGTGAGAACAAGATTGATGGATATTAAACAATAAACATGTATTTAAAAATAAAGTTTTAGGTCAAGGCTACTTGTTATTACTCTTAAGACAAGTTACTGTGTAGCCTTCTGCAGCTGAAGGGCAGGTGATACCGCTATAATAAGGTCTTATAAAACCTCGTTATAAATCTATCAGATAAATTTTCCAGAAGAATCTCTAGCTAATCAGTTAAGTTAGGAAACTATGAATGAGGAAGACAGGGATAAGTCAGTCATTTGTGCTAGAATCAAGTAAATTGGTCTGAAAGGCTGACACATAGCATCTTGAAAGAAGGAAGAATCTCAAATCAGTAACATTTTGGAAACATAAAAATGTGCAGTATAGCTGTGAGAATAGAATATCAAACAGAATTAAGCAGCAAAAACATACTTAAAGAGTTTGGCCTTTAAAGGCAAATGAAAGAAATCAAAGCACTTTTTGACCAAAGAAGGGGTAAAAAGGCACTTTCTTGATGTTAAAACTATGAATGATCATGTTTCACAATTCATAAAATCCTGGACTTCAAAAAGCCCAGTCTGATTAGGCAACAACACAGGTAATACTTTATGTAGATAGAAAAATGAAGCTTATGCCAGAGCCCTGTGGCTCAGTACTTCTGCGCTACCTGTACTTTCTCAGTAACAGCACTCCTCTTATCTCAAGCAGCTTGCAAGCTGATTTTGTACAGTTCTCTAAGAATTTGTTATCTACTTTGTGTTTTTAAATGATTGCAGCTGTTCATGTGAAAATACCAACTTTATTACAACATATATAAAGGAAGTACTTTTAAGAAAAAAATGTAGCACCGACATGTTCTTACAAACAAGACTCCCTCCCCTCACACCCCAAAAAAAGAGACAGAGAGAGTGTGAGAGAGAGTGAGCATGCGAGCGTAGGCACCAGCCAATTAAGAAATTCAGACATCAATTAATAGGCTGACTTTCCTGGTACTATCAGGGATCCCACAGCTGCAGAAGTTCAGCACTTTGGGTAAACCTCTAACTTCCACAAGTTATGAATCTGAAGTTTACTTTTAGTAATGTAAACGCAAATGGAAATGGAACAAGCCTCTTGAAGTCTTGTTCAAAGTAATCAGTAGATGCCTGGTACCTAACTCTTTTTTATGACCTGCTCTTCAGTCCTTCTGTCTCTTCTCAGATCCCACTGAGCCTGGTAAATGAAAGTTTCTCCATTAGCCTACATTCCATTTTCAGAAAGTCGGAAGACACTTTCTCAGAAAAAAGCATCCCTAGAAGACCATGGCCCTTCGCAGTTGTTTCACTACCCTTTCGTCCACAGTTTTGCAGAAGTTCCGTCATCCATCTTCTATAAGTCACCAGGAATATGACTCCAAATGGGTAAACTGACTAATACCAATTTCCACAAGTTTACCAACAGTGACCACCTCCCGCTACAGGAATTTCTGTAAATAAAAACACCTGCCACAGAACTAGCAAAATGTTCCTTCATTTCCAGTAGATGCCAATGGATATTCTATGCTTTGTTACTAACAGATTTAAGTAACTGAATTAACAGTTTTAAGAGTGAAAACTCAGTCTAACCTTCTCCTGCAGAATCTGAGATATTCATTGAGAAAAAGGTACAAAAACATATAAAGGAAAGAGTTTAAAGAAAAAGCTGTTCATATCAAATCAGATGGAGCACGTTACCAACTTTTGTGTGTATACGTATGTATTTGCTCATCCAACCTCTAGCCAACCAGGTAAAAAGACAACAGTTGTACTGGATCATTTAAGGTAAAGAGTTCTCAAGCTCAAACTACATAGGAACTTATACTGAAGAGACATTTTAACTACATCTTTTTGACAAATGCAGTTAACAAAAAATACCACACACAGAGTAATCTAAAGGTGCCTAACATGACATAGTTCCACTACTTTAACGTCTCGTACACTAGAGAGAATAAAACCAAACAGTAAGATGATTTCAGAACCAGAAATGGAGCTAAAAAAAAAAAAAAAGCATGTGGTTTACACTAAGTTTCAAGTTTAGTTACTTTAAAAACTGAATACTGCTCTTGACTCAGTAGACAAGCTTTATGAATTCCACTGCTTGTTAGCTGTCTATTTTACTTAACCTCATTATAGTCTACTGTACAAATTATCAGTTGAGATCACAGTTGTCACAATAGCTTACTGCTGGCTTAAAACATTCCCTGAAAACAATTCACAAACTTCACAGTAACTTTACTCCTTGTGTATGGACAAACAAGTTTACTTCCGGTATTTTAGTATCCCTTGTGCAGTCTTCTGGGAAAGGATAAAAACAAACTTCTTTGACAAAAAGCAAGAGCTAGTTTTTTTGCCCCTTGTTTTAATCGTGTATCACTTTCTCAGAGTAAAAAAACCACTGAAATTTAAAGCAGCTTAATGCAAATGCACATTCACTCTCACAATATTATAAAGGAAGAACTACTTATGTGGGCACAATATATAACCTACATTATCTACATTGACTTTGACACTTTTTAAAACAGGTTTAATTTAATTCCTTTAAGAATATAACATGAGAAATATTTTCTAAAACGTTGTCTTAGTAAATAGTTTTGGATTCTAGGACAGTTATTGTAAGAGAACTGAATACTACAAAATAAAACACTGACACAAAGTCATGGAAAGGATGGTGTTTTATACAAAGCCTTTAAAAACAGAAATATAAAACAATTTTTTTAAAAGTTGGTGGGGCCAGAACATAGCATTGCATATTTTTCCCTGTAATACACCAGAAAATGAGAGACATCCCCTCAATAGGCGCTGGTAAAACCAAACCCACCTGACTGGAGATGTCCATTGCGGCATGCCAGGTTAGTACTGTCATTATAGACCTCCATTTGCGGCTTGGAAATTTGCAAAACTGCCTGCAGCTTCTCTACATAGTAGACAGAGGGGGAGGGAGGAAAAAGGACAAAATAAACAAACAAAAAATAAAAATGAACCAAGAAAATTTATGTATGTTGAACACACAATGTCAAGTTTGGCTTTGTTATACTTGATACAGGGTTAAAGATAAAAGGAGTATTTCTATCTATTCTACATGTTTACCAAATTTGTAAGAAAATTCTGTCAGTATGAGCATGACTGAAAACAGCTTTAAAACTAGCCATTTACAGATGAGTTAATTACAAGAATCTTTCCAGTCTAGTGATTGTAGTTACTTCCCAAAAGCAATGGTCAGGATTAATTCAACTTTGTTTACTAAATATTTGTGTTAATAACCCATTTCTGAAAGTCCTTCCCAAGGTGTTACTTTTGACCAACTGCAAGGAGTCATCACTTTCCTGCATATTAAATGTTTCACTTAAGTAGTAACAGCCAGTCAATATTTTACAGAAACCTCAACTGTTCCAAGCAAAACATCATATATACATTACGATGATGTCTTTTAGGATCTCTATTTAGAAATGTAATTGCCTTGAAATTAAGTCAATAAAATTGTCATGCAAGCTGTGTTCTTTAAGACGATTAACTTCAGAAACATCTGAATACAAGATTTATAAGGCTAAAGATTAAGGAGAAAGACATTAACTCTAAGAAGTCATGATAAACTAGCCAAAGCGTAAGTCAAAGAGGTGTAAGGCTGTAAATGACACAAAACAAGAATTAAGTCTCAGGACTATCTGTTCTCTGCAGCTCACCTACCACTCCTGCTTTTCCCACTGCAGTTAAAAACCTCTAGGCCTTACTTTTGGGGCACTTTACAGCCTCTCCCACCTTTATTTCACACACACACACCTTTTTTGTAAAAAGAAAACACGGTTTGTAAGGATGCAAGGCATACATTGTCACACTACCCCCCCTCCTTTTTTTTTTTCACCTCTCCCCAGAGATAACAGTACCAAGAAGCTGCAGGAAAACAGATGGCCAAGTAGAGGAGCGATGTCCTCTGGCAACATGAAAGCACATACTGCAAAAGAAGACTAATTCTACTGAAAATGTGCACAGCCAAGATCATAAATGCTCTGACTGGAGGAAGAATTGCCATTCAGAGCTTGCAGATTGTCCAACTAACAAGCATAAACACTTCCTTGCTTCCGCTTCTTTGTCTATTACAGATCTTTTTCCAGTCTTTCTGCTTCATTCCTTTCTTCTTCTGCCTGCTCCTGATCACTCACCACTTAGCTTCCCTGAAAAGTATCTTTAGGCCCAATAGTTTAAGTGATGGTTTAATAATAATCCCTGACTGAACAAGATCAACTAAACAAGCGGTTTAGAGTGAAAATTTAGTAGCCACAGGCAAATACGAAAAGCTAAAGTTCAAGATTAGTATGTGCACCCAGGGTTTACTTTGTTTTAAATTGAAAGCATTGAGGAGTCGGGTACAGTAAAACAAAAAAACGTTAGCTGCACAAGAACAGCCTACAAACAACCACAAGCTTTGTAACGTGCAAGAAGCTACCCTAAGAAACCTCCCTCTAAAGAAGTCTAAGAAAAGTCCTTTTAGAATGACTGACCGCAGACACAGTGTACTATTTTAGTGGGCGCAGCACTACTGAAGGAGACAGCAGAATAGTCTACTCCCTGCCCAAGTCTACTCCTGCAATCTGAATGGAAAGTACATAGAGAAGCTTAGGAAACAAGATTAGTATTAATAGACTTGGTAAGATATTAGATAATCAGTTAAGTTTTGAAGAACATTTCTGAACCTTACAAAAAACCTTTCTAGCGAGTGACCACAATAAAATCAATCTGCTTGGGCAGGAATTCAGGAAATGCTATTTGCTTCAACACTACAGTTTGAGACTAGGGTTTTACCACAATTATCAATGGCTTAGCAAGTTCCACATATTCAGGAACTCCAAAACTGAAACAAAAAAAATGTAATCCAACTGTTATCCAGTTTCAATTCACACATTGTCTTCCCATCACATTACGTATTAACATGTAATTTTAACATTGCACATAAAATTACATAAAGCAAACATATCACTTTTCTTGAGAGACAGTGTAGCTGTACAGCCCTTTGGAATAATGAAAATAAATTGAGCTATTAAATATTATTCCAGGGAATTAACAGGACACCCTATCACCTTCCATTTAAATGCTTTCTCCCTATGTCTCCAGACATTGGGGCGGAGGGGGCGGGGTGTGGGGTGTGGAATGTTTACAGAATCTCATTCATTATTTCTCCGTGATGATATAACATTGACATAAACCTACCAAATAAACACCACTGCAGCTGTTGTCTTATTTATGCAACGCTAGACCTCGAGTTCAAGGTAACTGATTTCTAATTAAAAAAAAAAAAACAAAAAACCATTGCCTTATAACACAAGCCTGAAGCAAAACCACCATCACCTCCAAGAAACTGGAAGAATCCCAAAAGCTGTTCATTGAAGCTCGTATCTATACACGGGCAGCATTATCACCAAAGAGGATACTTATGAAAGTTATTTTAATTATGTGCCATGTGCATCCTTCAACCAAAATACTGAAACTACACATAGTACACAGAAAGGCACTAGTGCTGACAGAAATCTATCCCCCTAAAGAAAGTCTCTCTGAAATGGAGAACACAGTGTATAGCGTTAGAATTGAGTAGTGTTGCAATGGACATTGTGATTATCTATCTTTAAGAACAGCAAACTGCTGAGTTTTATGTATTGACTGTAGAAAACAAATATCCTCCTGTGATTCTAAATATATCAAATATAATGATTCTAACATGGGTGATCAGTCATCCAGGAGAGATCAGGTCTATGAAGACCATCAGAGCAAGATTTATCCACTCACCTAAATAACTGCACAACTAACACACCCTAGACCGTGTCAAAAACAGGGGCTGCCACCAATTCAAATGGTAGAACTTGGAAGTTCCCTGACAGCTAGCACAACTCAATATTGTCACTGGACTGCCAAAGTGATTAAGTCACCTTGAGGTGCTCTGAAACACACCTGGAGTAACTTCAGCTTTCAGGCTGTGTCATACTACAGCTTTAAACAGAATACGATACAGTAATTTAGACTCAAAATGAAAACAGGGCTCAAAATAGTAAAGCCAACATCCAAGGTAAGTAGCTACATCCTCTTGGTCGAACATTAGAAGGCATCAGTGGTGTGATGACGCATGGTGATAACACATGGGCACGATCAGATATCACACTCCCCTCAGTGGTGTCCAACACCCCCCTCAATGGTGTCATGCAACTTAAACTTACATTGATGATCCAACACACTTCAAAAAAATCAAAGCACTGACCACTTTTAAGGAACAGTTATAATCCATATGATTTAATTTTCACTTTCTATGTATTACCAATGTAACTTGCTTGACTGGATGGCATTTCAGTTAGGTAGTCTGCAATCACATCTCTGCCTAGCAAGCAGGATGAAATATTTGATATTATTGTCTACTTTAAGTCTGTTTTATCCTGCCAGCTAATGCAATAAAGGACTTGCCCATTCTCCCTTAAGAAATGGAGAAATTCCACAGGGCTAGCGGAAAACACTCTTTGACCTTAAGAGTTGGATTCATAGGAAAAATCACGTTATTGAATCTTAAGAGCTTCAAGAGTCTCAAGTTTAGTTCAACTACAAAAGCATCTCTACACCACTTAAAAACTTCCAAATACCTGTTACTATAAGTAACAAGATAAAAGCTATGTTTAAAATTGCACATGCAATTCAACTCTAGATTACCTTAAATTTCAACAAAATCCATGTAAAATGACATATAAAGTAATAAAAACAGATGCTGTCAATACCTGAAAGTTGGTTAGGTGGTATAACAAATATTACTCAAATAGATCCATAATGATCAAGCTTGCAGGGATTTAAATCCATTGGAGTATCTCTCCAAACAACATCTTTTTCCTTCCTAAAGGGCAGACGACTTCACTTGCTCCTTTCTATCCAAATTTTGATCTCAGGTACATCGTTTGAGGCAGATCCTTAGTGCAAACTGAACAAGAACCTAAGCAGAACAAAGTACTAAACTTCTGATAATTTCAAAGTAAAAATAAAATAAATCATATTTGACATCAACTTATGCAATGAACACTATTCTATCTGTTTACCTTTCAATCTGCACTCTGAATGAGGAATACAAATAGCATGTGATCACACATTCTGGTAGTAAAGATGAATGTACCAGCTTGACTTCAACTTTAGTTTTTTTGCAGTGTTTACCCTTTTTACTTTTTCCATCAGAGCACAGCAAGCAACTTAACCAACATCGCAAGTGCTATTACAATAACGCAAGCAAGGATGAAGCGCTACCCACAAAATACAGGCATTGCTACTTCAAGGTTCAAAGAACAGCAAATTTTTTAAAGAAAACCTAGTTACTTGCAATTAGGAATGTCAGCAACAAGCCGTACCTTATCAAAGATTGTTAGCATGTAATCACTTTCACTCTTGTTCCCTAGTTTGTATTACCTCTAGGAGTCAGCCTTTAACCCCAAGGAGTAGAAAGTATCTTTTCTGCATATGCTGAGGTTCTACTGACAAACACCCATAATAAAGCTTAGAAGCCAGAAGCCTCTTTCACCCCATGTTCCCTTCACTTTTTTTCAAAAAGAATTAAGGACACCAGGAACTCAAGGGAGACAAAAGGGATTCACTTTCTCCTAGTTGTCACAACTTCCCTGTCAGTTACCAGTCAGGACCACAGAATCACAAAGTGTAAGAGGAGAAAAGAACATGAGTTTTCCTGTCTGCTCTATATGCTCCTAGGAGAGGGAGTTAGTAGAACTCAAAACAACACAGTGCAAGATTAAAGCTACAGATACGCAAGATAAACTCAAGTACGTTCCTTAGTTCTCCCCTTAAAGAGCAATTAAAAAAAAAAAAAAAAAAAATCTTATTTTCATTTTACTGCTTGAACTGAAAGCATTTCCAAAGATCTCAATTTAGAGGATGCACTACACAAAGCTGTGGGATTGTAGCTTGATGGGGAGGGGGGATCTTTGTCTGTTTATCAGGCACAGTAAGATGCCATTTCCAATCCTGCCTGTTTTACTCTGTCCATTAAGAGCTTATACACAACACTTAATTTTGATAAAGCTAAAACTACACAACACTATGCTTCTGAAAAGAAGTGATCTTACCTGCTAGTCTTAAAATAGAACCCTACTAGGTAAAAATCACGAGAATTAGGATTTCACAACCTTATGGTCTACATAATGCTAAAGAATTATTATTACAGTACATACCAATAATCAGGAAAATTGTTATGTCAGTTGACAGCAAGAATTAAGAGAACATGAAGTAGTTACACTTACAGAAGGCACATTTAGCACTGATGATCGGCAATATAAGTTTTACTACAGTTCTAACACAGAAATCCTAAACTAACTCCAACAAGAGTTAGTCAAGACTTCCTCAGTTTACGAGTCAAGCATGCTATGGTATATAGACTTCTCAGTTACTTTTACACCTATTTCTTAAGGCATAAGGAAGTGGGTCACGAGATTCCAATTTCAAAATCCATCAACAGCATTGAAAAAATATTACTTGCTCTCAAGTAAAAATCAAACTTAAGAGACCCTACACAGATAATGACTCCTTCACTTTAAAAATCAAAGTAATATTTTAGAAGAATGCATTACATGAAGTTGTGCAAATAATGACAAACTTTCCAAAGTCATGAATTGTAACTGGTACCTAAAAGCTGCAAGCGATCCTTGGCCATTGCCAAATTTGTCATCATTTTAGATTGCAGACGTCGAGCCCGTTCACACTGATCACCTTACAAAGAAAAATCAATGTTAAAACACAATTTGGCAAATTAACTTTTTTAAGTGCTAAAATACTGACACCCAGCCTTCCCTCCTCTTCCTCCCACCCCTTATCTACCCCCTCCACTAAGGAACATTGTTGCAAAACTAATGAAAAAATCCTAAAGCTTTCTATTTAATCAAGAATTTAAAGTTAGTTGACACTATCTGCTTTATAATATTGCTCGTAGAGCGGTGGGAACCCAAGCATAGCTTTGCACATTCTCTAACATCTCAGGCTGACATAATATATGTTCTTTGTCACTGCATTTTTCTAAACAGAAGTCAAACAAAAAAAATTTTTAAAAAGCCTGAAAAGTGACTGAGAGGCAAGTACAATTTGAAATAATTCACTTTGGCAAAATAAACAGATTTAAATTCAGTTGACTGTGTCCCTTTACATTTCAAAGCACACAGAATTACAGACATTAATATCACCACTTCCTAAAAAATAGTGTCTGTTCAAGACAAGCTTTTTTTTTTTTTTTTTTAAACTGTGCAATGTAGACTGGTTCTATCAAATGCCACTGGTACTGCTGTGTAAGTACGACGTCACCATATACTCTTCACTAACATTTCTAAACATAGCTGAGGAACAAAGCAGCAATCTGCAAAAGCAGTTACAGGTTTGGGGTTTTTTGGAGGTTGTGTTATTATTATTACTATCATATTATTTTGAGGACAGAAATTCTTAGCAAGTCCTTCACGCTACACCTATTTCTCTATGGTACATACCTGCTTCTACACTACAGCTTAAAATGTTTCCATATACACAGATGGCTTTATTCCTTTGTTGGAAATGTTCAGCTATTTTGGCATAAGCTGTTCAGAAACATAATGCTAGACCACTCCAGATTGGGGTGTTTCTTTTTTAGTTATACTGAAAAGAATATAAAATTCTGCATAAATGAGAACATGAACTGTCAACTTTGGCAAATCAAATCAGAACACAGTATTTTGGCATTCCCGTTATATAAGAAATCAAATGTTTTACTTTAGAATTTTCACGAACTGCTTATGATTTTGGATAGTCTGAAGATATTTGGAGCAAGATTTGCATGTGTTATAGACCAGAACCTTAAGGTAGAACAGAGAAATGGACCAGTGTTCACCTACAGCTAAAACAGGAATAAGAAACACTTGTGAATTAATTCATACAGCAGACCATTCCTAGCACCTACCATATTTAGCAATACTGATTCCTCACTTTGAAGAAGCCATAAACCAAAATCTTTTCCACAAAACTCAAAACTGGCTTACCTTGACCAATTACTAAGACAGCTATTCCTTTTTCCAGTTCTTCAATTCCTTTCTTATACCATTCAACAGCTTGTTCCTTTTGTCCTGCTTAAAAAGGAAGTGAACCCATTATTTTCTGTAATGAATTAAAGCTTAGGAATGGTTCCATATAATGCTGCGTAAAACAAGTAAGAGGAAGGAAGAGATATTTGAACAAAATTCTATGATTTAAAGAAACACTTAAAGGGACACTGTCAACTTTATATCTACCTAGTTTCAAATAAACTTTTCTATTAAAAACAGGTACTACACCAGCCTCAAATCACTTTTGCCTGTTTTAGGAATACTTCTCCATCTGCCTTAAAGAGATCAGTCCCCTAAAACAAAAACAACCACCAAAAGAAAAGGTAAAAAAGTTAGCCTACACATATTCATTCACAACAGAAATGGTGAAATTAACAGTTTTCCTTTCTGGAACATCAAAGTGAGACATGCTTCTCAATCTTCCAGTGATAGCCAATACCAAAGTAACACTAGAAGCACAGAAACTCAAGAAGAAAAGCAATGAGTCTAAGATACTACAGGAGTGAGACAAGAGACACTTTTCCCCTGGTTAACCTTTGTAGCAGCTCATTTGTCATGGGGGTATTTCTTTGTTCATCCTATCATGAAACTGCTGTATTGGAGGTATATGTCAACTTTCACATGAAGTACAATACACGCAGAATTAGAGTACACCTCTGTACCATCAATGTCCTTAACAGATATTAGAGCAAATACAACCATAAACATGCCTATGCCTAACCTATACTATCTGACACCATGACAGCAAATAACCCATTGAAGAGATATTCATTTCATATTGCTCCCCTTCTATAAATACTCTGCATTAAAAAGATACTTGCCTGCATATGGAAACATACTTTTGCAAGTTAGGTATGTCACACTAAGCATGCCTTTCCACACAGGAATACAGCACATTAGGTATTACAATTTAAACCCGATTAGCGGTAACAAGCTGCTAGCGCTAGAAAAAACAAAAATGCCTAGAATGAAACCTTCAGATATCATTACCCTAGTTTCAGAAGAGAGAACGTTTCACAAAACTATTCCTCAGTGCGAGTTACCAGTGACTGTGTTACTTCTGCACTCAAATCTTTTGGTAACTTCAGTCCCAAACCTATTTTCTAGCAAATTTTAGTGCCAGTAAAAATATTTCAATACATTTCTAGAATCCTTTTAAGGGTTTCCTCTTCCTCCTCTCCAGATGCAAAATCTTTTAATAACATTCGGCAAGTTACCCTGTACAGGTAATTCCACGCTTTGCTCATCTTACAGACACAAACCACAGGAGTACCTTCCTACAGTCATGTACGTCACACACCTTGGGAATCATTTTATTACTGCCCTTTCTCCGCCAGCCTCATATATCCTGACTGCTAAGGACAAAGCTAGATAAATTAAATCATCGAAGCTGAGTGACTTTGATCCTCCGCTCTGTAGCCTTTTTTTCCTTTAAGCTTCTCCCCATCACCTCTAGAAACAGTTTTGACTGCAGTGTAAATCTAATGCTGATTATGGCTATTAGAAATCAAATTTTAGATGATTCCAGCCACCTCTGCTATTGCCTGAATTGCTTTGCTATTCTGAAGAGCAATTGCGAACATGCCAAGGTCATCATTAAAATCTCATTTCCACCTTTTAACTGGAGAAGTTTTAAAAGCAATATACCAAACCGAGCTGTTTGCAAAGATAGTGTTCTGAACCCACACAGAACAGTTTACTAGTTCTCAGTGATCAAGACATTAAAAGTACAGTAAAAAAGTCACATTCCTTAGAAGTCATTGATTTGCTGTACTGGGTCTGGCTAGGATGGAGTTAATTTTCTTCACAGCAGCCGCTATGGTGCTGTGTTTCGGATTTGTGACTAAAACAGTGTTGGTAACACACCAGTGTTTTGGCTATTGCTGAACAGCTTGCACAGCCTCAAGGTTTTCTTTTTCCCACTCTAGATCCCCAGCAAGTAGGCTGGTGGTGCATGACAAGTTGGGAGGGGACACCGGCAGGATGACTGACCCAAATTGGCCAAAGGGATATTCCGTATGGTGTAATATCATGCCTAGCAATAACAACTTGGGTAGAGGAAGAACAGGGTGGGGGCTGTCTTCCAAGGCAGCCATTGCTCAGAAACTGACTGGGCATTGGTCAGTAATTCCCTTTGCATCACTTGCCTTCCCCTCACCTCTTTCCTTCACTTATTAATGTGTCCTTATGCTGAACCACAAGTTTTCTCACTTTTGCTCTTCCTATTCTCTCCTCTGTCCCACGGAGGGGAGTAAACAAGCAGCTATGTGGGTGCTTAGCTGCTCGCTGGGGTCAACCCACCTCATGTGCTTCTCAGTCCCAGGAAAAGATGTTAAGCTTGATTTTGAAAATACCAAAACAAGAATATTAATTTCCCCAATAATTCAGCAGCATAAAAATTACCAGCAGTGCTATCACAATTACTGAAGCGCGCATCGCTTCCAGAACAGCAAAAACACCACATAATTAACAGGATATTAGACAACCCAGAAATCCCAACCATTTCACATACTCCGCCTAATAAATTGTTTTCTGTTGGAAGTTATAAAAAACTTGTTTACATATCAAATAAATTCAAAGGTATGCAAGTATTCCAGTAAAAACAGATAAGCAAATAACAAATCTATGTATCAAAGCAAAGTAAGTTCTTTCTCAGTGAAATGAATACTGCATTTGCAGGGTTGTAACAGCTTTGCAACTGCTTGTGTTAGCAGCAAAGATTTTTTTCTGACTAAATGTATGACCTGTGCGGCTAATTCATATGTCACAACTCTAAAAATATCTATAAAGCAAGTCCATGATTAAAATCGGTATTTGAAGGCTTACCCTTCAAACCACCAACAGTTACAAGCCACAACAGTAGAATAGACACCTGATAATTTAAGACTTAGCTACTCTTCACTGAGCAATCATCAAAAACACTGAAGTCTTAAGCTACCTCACCTTCTTTCATGCTTTGCTCCTATGACCCTCAATGCCCTTATACTGTACATCTGTTCTGAACTAACCTTGCTGTACATGGTGGGTTTTTTTCTCCCAGAGCTTAACACTGCCACTCCCAAATTGTCAATGCAAAGCAAGACACATCCCTTGCTTTTACGGTGCGCTCAGCATGTAGCTTCTATTGAAGGCCTATTCCTATATTTTTAACTTCCTCCTCTAGTACAGCAGTTTCACTAAAGCTCAACTGAAAGCGTGTAACAAAGTATTCTGATGTTTCCAGGTGATTTTAAAATCCAGCTCAGCATGCTCCTAAGGACTACCTTTTGGATGCTGACAGAGTTGTGCTGCTGCATTTAGATTAAATGGCTAAATCAAATGCACTAGCAATTGCTTCTTTTTTTTTAATCCTCTAGACAGGAAAAAAATAATTCCTCACTCCTGTGTTTTATTTAATCGAACCCTAAATATCCTCCTTAAGATCTTCTAGTCACATAGTGATAGTTTTTTTTAAGAGTAAGCATGTCAAACAGCTTAAGAAAAGTATTTTTAAAAAGCAACTGCCAAAACATGAATAAACATTGCTTTCCTTAAAAGCCAGATGACTCCAAATGGGCAGTTTGAGAGCCAAGTTTCCTGAAGATTCACTTCAATACTTCCATCATTTGTCAGACAGTACATTAAAGGGTGCACCCTTATTACTGTCCCGCGTGCTTTTCTTGTCCGGGTGCCCTGGTTAAACCGAAAGCTACTTACAGTCACACCCCCCGATTTTTAATCGCCTCACCCAGACCTCCGCATCAAAAATTCTAACTTAAAGTTGTTAGAGTGAAATACAAAGACTTGCTTTGCGTGGGAGATCGGTCTGAGCCGCAGCTTTTTGATCCAACCTGCGCCCGCCGGCTGCGGCGAGGCAGGGACGGACCCAGCTGGGGCGGCGGCGGGGGAGCAAAGCACCGCAGCCGCCTGCAGACGCCC